CATTTAAATATGTAAACTAAAGTGCAATCACATTCGTAAATTAATGGCTTCTGGTTTTTGAAATGTAAATTACATCATAACTTCTCCTCAGCTGCCGGTGTAAATTACATCATAACTTCTCCTCAGCTGCCGGTTAACCTGGCCGATCTTTGACCCACTTTTCTCCAGATTGTCGCGACGTTTCTCCATTTTCTGTTATCTCTTCTATTATTTTCTTCTCTTTTCTTTCTAAGCGCTATTTTTTATTTTTCTTCTTCGTGCTACCGCTATTTTTATTTTTATTCTTCATGACAGGGGTTCACTTTGGCCTGGGGAGTCAAATTCAGCATTCGCTTCAATGATATCTTGCGCCATCTAGCGTCGTGAATGGGTATAATGTCTAGACCCCGAATATAAGACGACCCCCACTTTTTTAGTCTTATTTCAATGCAAAAAACGCCGTCTTATATTCGGGCCAATACGGTAGTTCTTTTTGTATTTAGGTTGATATTCTGGCTTACTGGAATCCCTTGTCCTTTGAGTTTGACAAGCAATTTATGTTTTTCTCATTCCTTGGCTTTTGCAAGGATTTTTTGTTTGTTATTCATTTTTTCCTAGTTCTTTGTTACCAGTGTCCTTCGTTGTACTTTGCCGGTCTTGCGTTCTTATTTTATTTATTTATTTTTTTGTCAACTCTCTTGTCTGTGCCTACGTTGGTGGAATCCAATTCAGTATGGGACATTGCGGACACCTAACAGAGTGCAGCAGTCTTAAAAAGAGGATATATTCTCAAAAACCAAAAGGCAACCAGGCGCGTGGGATAGCCCAAAAATTCTTCACTAAACAAAGTCCCAAAAAAACCCTAAATTTTCAAAGTAATAAACAAATACTGGGAATAAACTCAGCAGAACAGCAAACAAGACATGATCAGGGAAATGTGACTGACAGTGACAGCAGCGTACGGAAACAATGAACCGACCAATGACTGTTTTTGTTTATACCTATGACTCACCCAAGGGTAAAAATAATGCAAAAAAAAAAAATGTCACTATTGCTCTTTTCTTGGCGTGCAAATTAAAAGCCTAATGTCAAGACCTGCTTCAGAATGAGCCTCCATGACGCAGAAACTGCTTGAGTGAAGTGGAAAAAAACCCAATGGCAACAGTTTCTTATGCGCTTTTAGCTTTTCATTGAATGAAAACACTCGCAAGGAGCATGGAGAAGACACCAACACTGACCTCATCAAATCAAACTGATTTTATATTAAAGTCAATAAAGATAAAGGTCACAGCAAGCCAAACTTGCAAATCAAGGTACCACTGCAGTTTGCACCCTGGTGTCATCAGTGGACGGTGGAACCTCCAAAACGTTTAACCTAAACTTCCTGGAAATTGGATTGTGTGTGAAGGTGCTTGCCTTTTTTCCACATTGCGGGCTGTGCTGCTGCAAGTAGAAGCACGCTGGGTGTCAAGCACTTTATTTTAGTACAAATCTTGAGTCTTGCAAATGCGCAAGTTGTATCTAGCTTGCTACAGAAGGATTTCTCATCAGTTTTCTCATTTTTGTCTTTCAGGTTTTATGAGCAATTGTGTTTTCAAGAGGGAGGAAAGTGAAAAAAACTGAGACGAGCGGCTCAAGTGTGACCGAACAAGCCCAGGTCAAATTCACCAGGCAAAATGAGAATCAATGTGAAGAAAAAGAAAATCGTGGGACTTCAATCAACTTATTTTGATTGAGACATTTTATTAACGGAGGCATGTCTGAATGAAGCGGACTTTCACAGAAAACTGATCCTCTCTATTCAGAATTGAATTACATGGTGTAAAACCAACAACTCTCGAAATAGTCATGTGATGTTTGTGCTTTGGACATTATGCCGTATGATGAGTAGTTTTTCCGTTTCATTTAGAGGCACTGACACAAATTTTACTGTGCAAAACAAAACTTTTCTTTGTTGTTCATAGCCATGCGTAACACTTTTTTTTCACACAGTAAGGTATGCTCACAATACAACACCGTGTATAATTTAGCATTTCCTGCATTATGAAGAATGTTCTTTAGAAATGTTGGCCGTCTTACATCACATGTCAAATCTCCATTTCTTTTAATTTAAAGTATTGTATTGACCTGCGATTGGCTGGCAACCGGTTCAGGGTGTCCCCCACCGACTGCCCGAAGACAGCTGGGATAGGCTCCAGCACCCCCACAACCCTTGTGTTGTTGACCCTTGTATTCATGCCTCAAACCTTACAATGTTTGACTCTGTTGTGAAATTCGCATCAGTATCATGCCACATCTATGTTCCTCTTCACCAACAATCTCTTGAATCCTTTTTTTCTAATATATTACAGTACTGTATATGTTAGATTTATTTTTTAATCCCTGCATTTTTTTAAGCCCCCTCGTGGACTCTCAGGGGATTTCACTATATATATCGTCACGAAGGCGAAATTTTGTCTGATCATTCGTATAACATTAATAAAGAGAAGGTGTATTCTTATATTTGTCTTATTATGGCAGATGGTCGATATGAGCGTGAGCTGGGCTGACTGCTTTGTTTACAAGAGGAGGGTTTGTTAACTCTGACAGTTTCTTACATCCTGGTCCCATGGTTACACCCACACGTAATTCCCTGCGTTGGTATTCAAGCGGTATGTTTTTTTTTGTTTTGTTTTAGGCCTCAAAAGGAAAACACTGTCATTTAGTGTCATACAATCACGGCATGATCGTAAATACTGACACGAATCTGTAAAAAAAATTATACGCCAATGATACTTTTAAATTTATTCTGCGATTGCCTATTAGCTATATTATCTATTAGCTATGCTAAAAACAAATAGTGTTTCAGATTAAGCAATTCAATTTAGTTCTAAAACAGAGAATACTGTAGAATTTGTCACTCTTAATCAAGGAGTTATGGGAACACATTTGGCTCCATCCATTAGGCAAACATAAGCAATCATTCACTCAGGCAGACTTGGCGTTTGTTCGTAAATGTCTCGTCGTGATGTAACTTTTCACATTGTGTCAGCCACATGATCAAGACGCCACCCAGCTGCTGATGCTGTCTGCAAACCTCCACCACTTGCATCCACGACCATGGATCCTGCACTCAGGTAAGAATCTGGCTAATTCATCATTCATTAATACGGTGGTCATTTTTATGTGTTGTGGTATGGATTCAAATGTCTACACTTGGCGATGTACTTCAGACACACTTGGCTACACACACGTACACATTTTACACACATTATATGTAGAAATGTGTTTTGTAGATGCACACTATATATATATATATATATATATATATATATATATCGTGTAGATAAATAATATTTATTGTGTGTGATGCATGTGAGTCTCACGAGAAGTTGGGCAGGTCCATGTGTTAAAATCACAATTGAACAACCCGAAATGTTTTGTTTGGCATGAGGAAGAGGTTTGACCAACACACTATGTGTAAATATAAAAGAGCAGCATGAAGGTCATTGAATTGGAGACCAGAACAAAAGGTGTCGAAGTTGGAAGGGTGTCCATCTAGGCCGTCGTTTATGTTGAGAGGAGCCATCCGGATCAGTTTGCACTGGAAGTAGTGTCATTGTTTTTTTTTTTTTTTATTATTATTCAGTGGTGACCAAAAGTAATGAATTACGTGAAGGTTCTTTAGTTTGCTAGAGAACAAGATGGACACTACAGAAAGTCCTGCAACACAACAACGGTGAGCAGATTAATTTTTTTGGGGTGCATGTTTGTTCTAACCATGTATTAAGAGAACCAGAATGAAACTCAGAAGAGCACAGACCTCGACCAAGGTTTAACAATCCTAATTTGGATTATAAACCTTGTATAAAAAAGAATTTGAAGTTTGTCAACGAGATGTCTGCATTCGTCAAAGGGTACTGTGTATGTTTTATTGTTATCCAAAATTTTAAAAAATGCATATATAAACCAATTTTATTAACTTATTTTCTGAGCCAATGAGGGGTTCTCCGTTAAGTTACAGGCAAACCCTTTTGGTGCTTTCTAAAAAAACCAAAACCTGCATTTCAAAACCCCAAAATTTTGCAGTTCCACAATTGTTTTTTTTTTCCCCAAGAAGAAAATTGTATTTAAGTTGACAGAATATTGTTTTATTTATTTTTATTACATACTTTACAATGGGAGGTGGACAATTTTTTCTGGACTCTCAAAGTACAGACTGGTGAAAGTTCTTCTTTAAAATGTAAACATGAAACTTCGCCCTTCATACAGGAATTGAATATTCAATAATCCATGATCAGTCAATTAAAAAAAAACTTGCTGCTGGAAATTGAAAATGAACAGTAGGCGCCCAAACGATCTATCCATGCAGACCTCCAATTATCTGCTATTAATTAAATCTAAAGGGCTGGATCCCATCTACGAGGGATCTAAATTGACATCTTTACAATGAAGACAGTGCTCACTGTGGCGGGGAGGGGTGGTGGGTGCGGGCAATACGTGCTGAAACGTAATCATAGACTGGTGGTGGGGCTGCTAGCGGCTGTGATGGCCAGGAACGGCCCGTAAATACACTGGCTGTTGGGAAAATCTAAATATCCATCAATCCATTTTCCGATCCGCTTATCCTGACAAGGGTTGCGGGGAGTGCTGGAGCCTATCCCAGCTGTCTTCGGGCAGAAGGTGGGGACACGCTGAACCGGTTGCCAGCCAATCGCAGGGCACACAGAGATGAACAACCATCCACGCTCAACACTCACAGCTAGGGACAATTTAGAGTGTTCATTCAGCCTGCCATGCATGTTTTTGGAATGTGGGAGGAAACCAGAGTACCCGGAGTAAACCCACGCAGGCACAGGGAGAGCATGGAAACTCCACACAGGAAAGCCGAAGCTGGGATCAAACCCACAACCTCTGCACTGTGCGGTCGCTGCGCTAACCACTCGGTACCATGCCGAAAATCTCAATATTTTCCCGAAATTCCCGATGACCACCCCGCCCGTGCCTCTAAGACCAGAAGCAAAAGCATCACGAACCAACCAAACCTTCAATCACTGGGCAACCCGCTCTATCAACTGAGCTAAAACCACCAAGCAAGACCAACATGCTGTTGTCCTGCCGGTAGCTGGTGACACCAGCAATACAACCTGGGCGTCAGCAGACCTCACCAGCTCCTGAGAGGGCCCCAGCAACAGGCTGGCCCTACTGTGACTCTGTGGCTCAGTTCATAGCGCGAGTTACCCAGTGACCGAAGGTTTGGCTGTTTGCTGTCTTGGCTGTTTTGTTTTGCATTTGCTGCTGGTCTTGCTGGTAGCACAAGAGCAGCACAAAGACGCAACCAAACCATCCTGGTCCATGCTGTTTTGTTTTTTTTTTGCGGGGAATTTAATTGTCTTTAATAACAGTATGATCTTGGTCAGTTTGCATTTGTATTAGATTGTGCAAGTATACAGACATGGTTGTATGAGTGATTTGTTGTCTTCTGCTGTGAGTAGAAAGGCGAAGCTGATGTTCGGCCTGAAAGGGAAGAAGAAGAAGAAGGTCCACTCAGACTTGGTCTTGGCAAACAAGGCTGCTTTAGTTAAGTCCTCAGACACACACACCGAATGCAAATAAAACCATGCTAACATTAACCATTGTGTGTGTGTGTGTGTGTGTGTGTGTGTGTGTGTGTGTGTGTGTGTGT